TTCATCTGAAAAATCTAATTCACATAGGCTTGTGATGCTTATTTTCATCTTTGTTGTTGTAGGTAGTGTCTTATTTTTCAACATCTGGCTAGAATCTTCCTTCCTTCCTTAACTCTTCCCCAAAGCTACTGGCATTTATAATAATTCAACTTCAAGATTGATTTTAAGTGGGTCCAATCAGCATTGAACAATTTTAGACTGCAAAAGTTAGTAGTATTCAATTTCTTTATCTTTGGCTTTAGTGGTTGTTCTGTATATTTAAATAACAGTTGTTTCAACATGTCTTCCTGGTATGAGTAGTATCCTGTCACTCAAAGCACTGTATTTCAGAATAACATTTGAAATGTTATTATTTTTTTTTTTACTATATATGCAACACTATTCTTCCTTAATTTGTCATCTGGGCATGACAGATCATGATTTACTTGGATCCACAATCAACGCCCATGGTAAGAGCATTCAAGAAATCAAGAGACCTGTTGCACTGGGAAAATCTGCTGTCAGGTAGGACCTCTTTAAGTGTCAACGAGCAAGATGTCAGTTTAAAGACATAGGTGCACCTGATCCATGCTATATCCCCTTTTTCAAAAATGAATTTGAATGAAAAGTTTACAGAAACTGGATTATCATTCATTCATTGTTGCACTTTTCTCCCTGCCCAACTTCTCTCCCAGTTTGTTCTTCTCTTTGAAAAGTAAAATTCTTTCAGTTATACAGTCCCTCCTCCTCATGCTATATTTTCAATTGCTTTCTTTTTCATTTTTTTTATCTTCCCTTCCATGTTGTGTACTATTGAATCGGATTGAGCTGGCACAGGAGATTGCCCCTCCGCCTCCAGAGGAGCATCGGGTGGATTTGAAACGTGTGCCGTTGCTATTGCAGCACAGCTTCTTGCCAGTAGGCCACCAGAACTCCCTTTCCAGTTGCTTTCTATGTATCAGGAACTTGGACAATGAATATGATGTAAGAATTGATACCTTTGAATTGTGGTGATGGAGAAGATTGAGTATTACATGGACTGCCAAAAGAACAAGCAAGTCTATCTTGGAAGAAGTGCAATCAAGGTGCTCCTTAGAGGTAAGGATGGTAAAACTCTGTCTTACATACTTTGGGCATGTAGAACCTCATGTCTGGGAAAGTTGGATGGTAAGAGAAAGAGGAACCCTCAACATTTCATACTGACAGAGTAACTAAGGGCTCCAGGTATCAGAGGTCATTAAGATTTGCTCAAGATGTGGCAGTCTGTTATCCATAGGGTCAATGCTCACTCCAAACTGTGAAACAGACTCTTAAGATTACACTGAAGAAAATTAGATGCTCTCACAGCACCTCAGGGAGCTCTGGTGGCCCAGTAGTGAAGAGCTGTGCTGACAAATGGAAGACAGACAGTTCACACGCACTAGTATCTCTGTGGGAAAAGGACAATAGTCTTTCCCCATGCAGTTTACAGCATCTGAAAATCAACTGGAAGGTCTGCTATGTGCACATGACAACATAACAGCTCAGTAAGCTGGTTTCTACAATTCAGCATTTAAATGGAATGAAAAATAGTCATTAAATCTGTGTTGTTGAATAAATATTGAGGAGGGGGAAGGGGAGAGTATATAAACAAAGACTTGGTGATTGTAGCTTAAAAAAACACCGCCTGTTTGTAGGAACAGAGTCAAAGCCAGATTTTGAAAATGGAAATTGGTCAGATTTCTACCAGAGACCAAAAGAAAAGTTTCAGATGTCTTACACTTAATAATTTTTGGTATCCTGGAAATGATAAGGTAGGAAACTGATTTCTGGTCTCTAAGGGCTTTTGTAGGTTTGTATATGCCTCATCTGTTCGAAGCAAAATCAAAGCTCATCTTGTTAAGATATCTAGTTGTAATTCTGTATTTTACCAATCTTCCTTGGACTTTCCAAGTAGAGGCTGAACTAAAAAGGTAATCTTTAGTAACTGGCTTACTAGGTGGTTCTTTATAAAAATGTAAATTAATAAATAGGCATTTATATATGTATCATTTTGCATCTAAGTTCTAGATGTAAAAGGACAGGTAGTGGCATCTAGCAACCCACCACCACAAATACTAAGGCTCAGATGAAAGGAATAGCCTTCAGCAGTGCCATTTCAAATCCAAATCAGGGCAGCCCCACAGAAAACTGCTTTCCATGTGAATGGGAAACCTTTGCCCTAGGACACCACAGGCTAATTTCTATGGTGTATGATAAAATAGACACAATTTTAGCAAACATTCAGCTGAGGAAGGCTAAGGAATTCGGGGCTCTGCAGGACTTGGCAAGGGCAGTTCACTTACTAGAACACAAATAACCAAAGGTTTTAGATGGCGGTGAAGAACTTTTACAAGTTAGCTTCAACTAAGGCAATCAATAGGATAGCCCTGAAGCAAACAAGTAATAGATGAAAAGCAAAGGCAAGAATATTTGCATCTATCTACACTAACAGTGAAATAGAGCTAAATGTCCCTTAAAATGTGGTAATACGAACTGTTCTGGGGGGAGGGTGGTTAGACACTGGTTCCAACCCAATATGTAACAGAACAAAACAATGCCCAGTGCTGGGATACCTTCACAGTTGTTTGAGTTCACAGCAGCCCTGGTCAGCCTATCTCATTTAGAGTTGTCTTTTGCTCACCCTCTACCAGACATCACGTCTTTCTCCAAGAAGTGGGTCTTTCCTGCTGCACTTCAGTCTTGTCCATTTTCCAGCTTTCACATACATGCACATGAGGTGACTGAAAATATCATGATTCAGGTTAGGCACACCTTAATCATTAAAAGGTTCAGAGAAGCCCAAAATCTCTGTAAATATTATAGGAAAAAAAAAAAATAAAAGGTTCAGAGAAGAGGGTGTGAGTGTGGAGTGGGACCAAGGCTTACGTGTGAATCAGTAAGCTAGTTTCTTTTCGCCTGGGTGCACATGGGCTGATTTCTCAAAATGGAAGTCAGCAGCTCTTGCTGTTAGAGGATTTATATACAGAGATTGTGGCAGGTTCCACAGATACCATGAAGAAGTCTTCTGTTGGTGCCTGTTATCTTGCAGGTGCAGTGCTAGGTCAGCCTGTTTTCATGGTATTCCTGGAATGTCCTGTTTTTGCCAGTTTAGCTTTCTGATAATAGTTGAGCAGGCTGGAACTAGGGGGAGGGCTTTATCGGAGAAATTGAAATTCTAACAAAAATGAGGCCTTTTTTTTTTTAACTTGCAGTTACCAAGGTGACATCTTTGATTTTTAGGATTTTAAAGAAGCCTTTGAAGCAGATTTGCTAGCACAGTATGCTGTTTTGAGTTCTCTGACTGCTGATTCCATGGGCGTTTATTGTGGATCAAAGTAAAATTGAGATCCTTGACCACGTCAATGTTCCCTTTATCATGATGTTGCTTACAGCATTCAAACTCTTTGAGGTTTCCGTATGTCTATAGTCAATCCAGTAAAGGGTAAGAGAAAAAGAGGGAGACCTTCAATGACTCAGACTGACAGTGACTACAACAGTGGGCTGGAGGCAGGACAGGGGAAGGGTGTCCATAGGTTTTCTAGGTAGTAATAAACTCAATGGCACTAACAACAAAGCCACACTGGGATGAGAGGGAAAGCAGCATTCTGAGTTAAGCCAATGTGAAATATTCTACATATTCAAGTTCTTGCGAACTACTCAATAATACGTAAGTTCTGCTTCCCAAGCAACAGCCTTTTGACAGAAATGAAAATCCATAAACACAACCCTTGAATCACTGGTGGCTTTTGGGTATGAGCCACTAAGAAACCACTCAAACAAGGGTAGGGGCTGGGGGGGAAGCTGCTCTTCCCAAATTTAGCCTGTTAGAAACAACCAGGAGAAGATAACATAG